AATAATGATAATAATAATAATAATAATAATAATAATAATAATAATAATAATAATAATAATAATAATTGCAATTATAATAATCTAATAATAATAATGACGAAAACGGCGGTATCCTGCATTCAGTAACGTCGGTTTTTTTCAGTGTTATTCTGCTCGGGATTTTTCGAAATTTTTGGGCCTTTGCAGCTAAATTTAGGTAAGTGGACAGACAAGTCAAAAAATGTGGATTTTTGACTCTTACAACAGAACTCAAACAGGCGGACAGGCAGACCTAGATTTGTTCATGCGCATTCTTACACACAACAAATCAAGACAAAGATGAGCAATGGTTTATGCAAAGAGAACTGAAAAATAGCTTGTCAGCGGCGGACCCAGCGCCAGGCAATGGCATCAATTAATGTTACCAAATCGACACGTGAAAACCTGTTTCCGTGTCCCACCGCAATTCGTTTGTTCTTTTGATAAGAATTTAGTTCAAACATTACAACAGAGAAAAAAAAAAAGAACCAAAACAGCAAAAATTTTTCGTTCAAACAATCGAAAGAGAAAAAATTCCACAGACTGAAAAAAAAAGATGCGGAAGGATTATTTATAGAAGACTTGAAGAGCCACATACTGCCCACTGAATTGACTTTTCTCTTTGCGTGAAATGAGCACATTTTTGGCCAAAAATAATGCTCAACATTTGCTATCTAAAAAAAATGAAAAAGAGTGCCATAAAAAAAGGTGAAAAATCGAACGAAATTCCAGAATTGCATAAACAGGCTAAAAAATCAAAGTTTAAAAAAAATCAAATATTCGCATCAGGGATACAAGAACGATATGTCATGCATGGAACACATTAGGAAGCAGCCTATATTTCATCCCTTAGCTGTAAACAGAGAAGCATGAGTGTAGGAATGAGAATCATCAGAAGAGCTTACTACCAGTCAGGCATTTCAGTGCGCATTTTTGTGATTTTTGATAAACGGAGAGGAGACAAAAGACGAAGTAAAAAGAGGTGATAAGAGGGG